CGTTCCCCCTACCAGGCCTCCAGATGGCCCTGGCCCCAACGCTGTGTGGGCCCTGTCAGAGCACACTATATATATGTGTGTGTGTGTGTGTGTGTGTGTGTGTGTGTGTGTGTGTCTGTGTGTGTGTGTGTGTGTGCTTCAGAGACAATGCCATCTGCCAGGAGTGCAAGGGGAGTTCAGCAGATGTATTTGCTGACACTAGGGGCGCAGGAGGGTATAGATAGTATACTGTATACATTAGTGAGTGTGTGTATGTGTGAGTGTGAGTGAGTGTGTGGGGACTCCCACCATGCTGTTGTTGGAAAAGAGAAATGGCCATAGCAGCACACACACACACACACACACACACACATTCACACAAACATGGAGTCAAAGATATGTGCAGATTTATGCAAGAAAGGCCGTTAACATTCATCTTTACAAAGCATCAAGAAATTCCCCCGACTTTGGAGCACAAAACACACAGTCACACACCCTCACACACACACTCACACACACACACTCACGCACACCCTCTTCGTGATGATGCTCCCTTGTCCTCGGGGGAGGATGCCGAAGTGTTGGCTGTCTGGCTGCTTGTCTGTCACACAAAGACAAAGCGTAGTATTTGTTTATATGAAAGCTTTACCGTCATGATCATTAGGAGACGCCGATAGATGGAAGTGATCAGCTGAAATGCCGCGTGGCTGAGTGATAAGATCACACCATCGGTCGGCCGGGTGTCTGTCGGACTTTCCCTATTGGCCGTTGCTCCTTCGAAATGTCTCTACAACTACGACGACGCAGCAGCTTGGAAGTGGCTGATGTAGTCTTAATGGTCGGTGTTTCAGTCACTGTTTCACACGGGAAAAACATCAATGAGAACAGCGTCATTGTGAATTTGGCTGTATTAAAATACTGTATGTGTGAGCACATAGAGGAGGAGAGAAGCAAACAGACACAGGGCGGAAACTGGATGACGCCAGAGTGAACGCAGCTACGACGCAGTCCGGCCATATCCTTGGTTTTGGCCTAGTTTTGTTATATAGTTGATAAATTAAGCTTCACAAAGCCAGAGTTCAGTTTCCACCAAGGAGTCTTTAGATGATGATGCTGAAACTTGAAACTGACAAACAAATAACTAAATGTTTCACAGGCGTTAAAGTTTAATTTTACACGAACATGAACTATTTCTCACCTCAGATGTATCCACAATAGATTAGAATAGTTTGGGGAATAGTGTTTTTGGCAGCACAGTGAGCGGTGTGTTCATCCAGGCGGAAGAAAAAGTTCAATTTGTTGTCTGAGTGAAGGAGACTGTCAATCACCCACGGTTGAGCCGTGGCGATACGAAGTATGTCGAGCTGGTGTCGGCTCGGATAAGACTTATATATCACAGCAAAAGAAAAAAAAAAACCCACTCCTGATGTACGAAGAACGGAGTGAGGTCGAGTGCTTCGCTCGACCTCCTGTACATTAAGTCAGGAATCCTTCGCTAAATGGTCACAGGAAAGAACATGTTCTTCAGGCACTCAGGCAGAGGAAGGATAAAAAAAAAAAAAAGTATTTTAAAAGCCTTAGTCAAGCATAATGGTTTAAAATGCCAACCGACGTTGACCTCAAAAGGGTCTTCAAAACTCTTGATATGTACTAATCCTACAACACAAGCTGCAGCAGTGGCTCTGTGACTTTAAAGTTCTTCTTCCCCCTTTTTATTCCTCTTCTTCCTTCATTAAATGTTGGCTCTGTAACGTAGGAACTGTGCCCAGTTCAATCTGGATCTCTCTGTGGGGACGAAAGGTTTCCACGCGTCCCACACTTCATAACCTAACCCAAAGGGGGGGGGGGGTCTTCTGCACTGTGCACTATTGATCAAGTCCTTTCAAATAAGGCAAATGATACTGGAAGAGTGAAACTCGCCGCCGCTCGTCCGCCCGGAGGGGGGAGGGGCCCGACTGCAGGGTTAACAGAGGAGAATCAGCCGGTCGGTCTGAGGAAGCCGAGAGAACAAAAGTGTAAAGTTCAGGCGTCTGATCCAGAGAGAAGAGACAGCCGCCGCAGAAGGCGAGCGAGGAAGCTGAAGGCGAGGGTTGGAACGTGGGAGAGGCGCATCAGGAGTGGAGGCATTTTAACGTGATGCTGGAATGAGAAAAGTTTTGGAGTTAGTTGTACGGATGATGGTGAAGTGATGCTTTTCAGTCGGCCTCATTTCTACGGCCTTCATCCGCGTTCGTATCATAGTGTGTTATTGTGTGTGATGCCTGATTCAGTTCTCTTTATTTCTTCTCATTATCATTTGAATTGTGATTTAACACCAGAGATAGTTTCCAGACATTGACTCCCACACCTGGATGCACTAGGCCTGTGTGTTTCTGTACTGCAGACTATCACGTGCACTAAAACAAACTTCTCCAAAACCTCATTAACGCTCCTGTGCAGCTGTCGTTACTGACGTTACAAAAGTCTGGCGTTTGAAATGTTGTTATTATGTTAATATAAGTGGATTAACTTTGTAGCCTCAGCAGTTTCTTCTAAATCTTTCATGCTACAACGACGGGTTACAGCAACAGTTTTCAGGCAAATTATATTTAGATTAAGTATGAATGAGGTGGACAGCAAAATCTGTAAATGAATACGCAGGCGCTTCAGCAGCTAAACATTCAAAGAGCGACGCTCCTGTGTCTTAATGAATGAAGAAAAGAGAAACACACACACACACACACACACTGTTCAACCTCTCGTTAAAAACGATCATGATGTTCCTGAATAACTCATCTGTTGGTGTTTTTTTTTCCTCCTCAAAGAAGCTGTTATTCTAATAAAACGTCACCACATTATCTAATGAATATAAAAACACAAGTATAGATCAATCTTCATCTATAGCACAAATCCTGGTTGAAATAAAGAAATAGGGATTAAATCTGCGGAAGAACAGAACTTATCAAAAAATAAATAATGGGTTATATTTTTGACTTAGAACGCTAAAAAACTTTTTATGTAAGAAAATCTATGTTGTTTTTGTTAGTTTTTTTTCCTACTTACATAAGATTTAATTCAGCTCAGAGGGAGCCCTTTATTTCCTCTTACTCAGGTGGTCTAGTGCCAAATGAGCTTGTAAACTGACAGAGGGAAGTGTGAACCAAAGGAGGCGGGACAAGCAGGGAGGAGAGGGAGGACAAGCTGGAAGGAAAAGGTGAAAGTAAGGTGAAACGATCTGAGACAGTGAGCGAGCCAGCAGTGGCTCTCCTCGGGGGGGCCCGCTGGAGGTTTTTGGAAATCATTCATCTTAGGGATCTCCTCCTCTCTAGTAGAACAAACAGCATCGTCTCTGTCGCCAATTAATACATCACCGGGCCCTCGACTCTCTCGTACACACCCCCTCCCCTCTCATGTTTCTGTGTCCCTTTTAATCTCAGTCCGTCTTTTCCCCCTGCCTTGATGTGTTGAATCTTATTAGCACCGTTTGCTCAGGACAACACGACTCTCCATCAGCCGATCGGTCCGTCGCCTAACTTAACATCGCCTCTGCTGCTGCCTGCCCCCCCCCCCCTACTTTTCTTTCCCATGCTGGCCTCCCCCCGTTTAAATTGGAGCTCGTTAGAGGAGGAAAAAAAATGCGGTTTTTGCTCCATTTTCACCAAAAAAAGCAGGAGGGGGAGAAAGCTATGAAAATGTTAATTAATAGCGGGTCGAGGAGAATACTGCCAATTAGTCCAGACTGACAGATGAGCAAGACACTGCACTGGAGACTTTGATGACTGCAGGAAGTCTACACACACACACACACACACACACATAGATGCACGCCTGGTTAGCCATCAGGACCATGTAGACAAGGGCTACTGTTTGATGCAGGCCAAGCAAGAAAACGGGGTCCTGTTCTCTCAGTTAGCATAAATACATGCACAGAATAGACACAGGTTTATATCAGCCAGCACATTCACAGATACAGGAAGGAGAAAGTGTTGCAGGGGTCACCTTCTAGTTGGAAGAAAAACATCATGATGTCCGTTTGCCTTTCTCTCTCTCTCTCTCTCTCTCTCACACTGTTGTGGCAACGCCGGAGCCTGCAGAGCTGAATTACTTTTGTTTTGTGATGATACGATCAGTAGGTGAATTCTCTGTGTGGTGCAGAGAGCCCCACTGATACTGGGTTGTTTTTTGTTTTTGTTTTTTTTATTGCTATTTGAGAGTTTTAAAAAACAGAAAAAAGATCTGATATATATATTCTCCACATAAACACGTAACGAGAATAAGTGTCTTTAGTTAGGTTTAAACTAACCTTTAGGGGCCTCAGAAGTACAAAACATCCCCCTAAAACCCCCGAAAGGTCGACCAGGTCACGGATGTTGTCTGTTCATTGGTTAACAAAAAGTTGTCAACAAATTTCAGTGAATCAACAAGGTCTAGTGAATTGGGTTTTTTTTTTTCCCGTGGCTTTCAGCTGCGTCTCCCGTTACTCCACACTGAGTTTCCCCAGTTTCCACGGACACGGTTCGGTTGACCTGAGGCCCCTCTTATTTCCGTCACATGAAATGAACCGTCTCCATGAAACTGAGCGAACTCCATCTCCGTAAAGAGAAATAAAAAACAAACAAGTAAGTGTGGGGACCTTTTTATGAGAATTTTGTTTTGTTATTTCCAAGGTTGAGAATGAACCTTCGTCCCCCACACACGTTTCATTTTTGATGTGGATCCAGGACTTTTGTTTTGTGTTTCATGATATCTCAAAGACTTTCACTTTCACTCTTCTGAGAACTGAAAACTGAAAACACAAAGATGCAATTTCGACATTTCTGTCAGTTTTGCATGTTTCCGATGGAGATTCTTTATTATTATTATTATTATTATTATTATAAAAACCAAATTCGCAGTCGCGTAGAGATATCTGATCATTCTTGCTCACCTTCATTAGCTGACCTTTTGTTAATGATGACACACTTAATGAGCAGTCATGAGCATCGCAACCTGCTTGATTCTCACCCTTCCCTCTCTTCTCCCCCCCCCACCCTCGTCTTCAGGTGAACCCGCGGTGGCCAGAGAGAACAACTGTCTGAATGCCGCCAAGGCCTGCAACCTGAATGACACGTGTAAGAAGTACCGCTCATCCTACATCAGCCCCTGCACCAGCCGCGTCTCCACCGCCGAAGTCTGCAATAAGAGGAAGTGTCACAAGGCCCTGCGGCAGTTCTTTGACAAGGCAAGGCGCATCTGATCCCAGCTTCTCAAAAAAGAAAAGAAATAAAAACACTAAAAAAACAACTGACATCTGATAAAAAGCCGAATGTCCATCATAAAGGACCTGCTTCAAAAGGAAGAATGATTTTTGAAGTGGATAAGTTAGATGGATTGTCACAATCACAATAAATAATCATACAGGCCTTTTTTGTTCTGGCTTTGCTTTTCCAGCGCCTGAGCTTTGACATTGATTCAGTCATCAAACACAAACGATGTTTTCACTGTCAGTGCCATGTCGTAATTATAACCCAGCTCCTATGATGTCCCCCTGGAATATCTTTACTGGGGCCGCTGCGAGTAAGCTGCAATATGAATGAATACAAAACTACAAAGAATGTGTAACATTGTTAATCTTAGCGTGATGTGTAATTTTGTTGTTGTTATTTTTCCACAACAAGAGAATTCTGTGTGTGAACAGCCTTAAGCTTTGACTTTCTTTTTGTGTTGGAGATAAAACTATGACGACATTTCTTTCTATTGCAGCCCGACCATCTGTTGTTACAGCGGCGTTGCCATCGTTCAGCATTAACATCAGAAATTATTGAAGCTGTTATTCTATTGAGGCGATGTTGTAATAGACATGGGAGCAAATTTTGACGTCTTAACATGATAATCTGTCAAATTTCTGTCTGAAAGTGCAACAAGTGGCCAAAAGATGACACGCGCTAAGGTCGGAATAAGACTTTGCTTTTTCTTGTGCCAAACAGGTTCCACCCAAGCACAGCTACGGCATGCTGTTCTGCTCGTGTCCCCTCATCGACCAGACGGCGTGCTCTGAACGCAGGCGTCAGACCATCGTCCCCGTCTGCTCGTACGAGGAAAAACAGAAACCCAACTGTCTGGAACTGCAGGCCTCCTGCAAGACCAACTACATCTGCAGGTAGGGAACAATAGATGCTAAAAATGCATTTGTTCTTTTTCTTTTATCTTTATAAGAAAACATCGCCAAACTCGAACCATTCCTCTCCTTTTTTGGAACAGTTTACCTCTTTTAATTAAGTGTTCCCCCTCTGTTAACATTTTTTAAGACTAAAACCCACGTTTTCTTTGGCTTTTGAGTGAAGCAAGTTAAGGTTTTATCTTTCACTTTTATCCTTTGCACTTTTATTTCAGACCGTTCCCTGTCTGTCTCAGACTATGGGACAGATAAGACCATTTTCACTTCAGCTGTTTTTATGTTGTGCGTTTTTCGTCGTATATCATTGTACAGCTCTCTGGTTGTTTTAAATGTGCTTTATGAATTAACTTGATTTGATTTGATTTGATATGAGACAGTAGTAAAGACATGAGAGAAAGTAAGAAAGAGAGAGAGACCTGGGAATGACATGCCACCAAGCATCCAGGGAGGCTCTGCTTCCTGACTGATACAAACCTGTAGGGTATGATGTGTCAAAACACTCCCACCACATCAGGATACTCCTCTGTCTCCAGTGTTGACATGCATCACGTCATATTAAAGGTAATGCTCAGACCGACATTAGCGGTCTCCGGCCGCATAGCCCCTCGTCCGGCAGCATCGTTACACTGTCCAACCAGCCGTCGTGCTAACTCTGCTAACTGTTTGCCTCGTTAGGAGATGGAGGAGCAAATTATTGCTGCTGTCAAAGTTTTCCAAAATCCTACTTCAAAGGATTGCTCTGGTCCTTTAGGAGGACACTGCACTGGCTGACATCGAGTCCCCTGGAGAGAGCGTCTCTCACTTTTCCATCCCACGTCTTCACCATAAACCAAGTCGTAACCCTGAAACTATTGTTTACCTCACAATGTGACTGTGTCCCCCGCACCGTGATTTAAAAACGTACACAGACACACACACACACACACACACACACAGGCCCCATGGACACCTTCTAACATTGTATAGTCACTAGAGTCACCAACACCAGCAGAAATAAATTGTCTGCCTTCATGCCTGACACGCACACACCCACACACACACACACACACACACTGCTCAGTAAAGCTGCAGAGCTCCTGCGTTTAGAGTCGGTGATGGACATCTGACATCACCCTCACTGCGAGTGTGTGTGTATGTGTGTTTATGCAGTCTCCTGGTGCTTACAGCCGGCAGCAGTCTTGTGGCTCTCTGGGATTAAATGGAAGCATTAGGCATCATAAATGAGCTCCATTTGGCCTGTGGCCTCAGGTCTCCCTCCCTCTCTCCTCAGCCCCTCTGTCTCTACTTAACAGCGAGCAGCATGACAACCGTAAATTCATGCTACAAGTTTCTGTTTCCTTCCATCTCTGTCGTTTTTTGGTTGTTTTTTTTTTTTCTTCTTCTTCTTCTTTCCGTGGTGTTCTTTATCCGTCAGACATACGCTCAGGGCTGAACAACAGGTCTCACCGCAGCGCCGCTTCCTCCCAGTCCATTTGTCAGTTAGCGCAGATAGATTAAAGCCATGCATTTCCACAAGCTCCCTCACCATATGTCAGGTGTAGTATACTGGCTGCTGCTGACAACTCTCACTACGCACTGCTCTGCAGCAGATTGGTGTGATTAGACAGATCACACTGTCAGTGCGTATTGAGAGTGTGTGTGTGTGTGTGTGTGTGTGTGTGTGTGTGTGTTTGTACGTGCTTGCAACTGTGTCCTGCTAGCAAGTTGTAACTGTCTTATTGAGTTAAACACAGAAATCTGCTCTCCTTCAGAAAGTGTGTTTGTGGAGTTTTTAACCACTAGTTGTGCAGTGGAGCAATGTGTTTATGAGCTGGAAAGTACCTTCATTTTTTTTTTTATTTATTCTTATTTTTTCTTATTTTTATAATAATATTTTTATAATTTTAATTTCATTGTACTGCCTACATTTCACTCAGCAACTCAACAAGAAAACAAGACTGGGGGGGTTGTAGCATCCAACAGTAGGAACACAAGCTGTCAGATAATCGCACGGGTTGTAAATAGTTTAATAACAGATTTTGAAATGCATTATTTCAAATAATACATTTTATTTATTTGGTGACAAGCTAAAAGCAAAATATGAAGAATTTTGCCGTATCTTGTTTTTTTGTGGACCGACTCCCTGGTTCAACTTTTAACTGCTTTTTTTTACTGTTGTTCCACGCAAAACACAGTTTCACTCTGGAATGAGAAAATTACAAGTGACATTTCAAGTGCACTCAGTTTTTGGTTTCACTGTCCAACACATGATTTAGATATTACGACTAAACTAGGGGGTTTAGAATCAACCCTTTGATTCTTCTGACCGCTCGTGTTCCTGTCCTGTTGGAAAATATTTCCGCAGTGTTCTCAGTAAAATGTTGACGTTGCTTTAAAAGGAATGATGGCCGAAACTGGAAAAAAAAAATAATAATAAGATCCAGATTGTTTTCCTTGAAGATACTGGAGTCCAGAGATGACATTAGCAGGTTTTCTTTTGTGTCAAAGTGCCAGTGTATCGCATTCAATCTCACTCCAAATGGTGAATTTCCTGGGAATCCAAACTCCATTTCAATTTCACATGCGACTGCTCCTGTGGCAAAAGTGTAAACAAACGTTTGTGAAGGCAGTAAATGAAAAAGAACAGACCTGGTGGAGAATTGCCTTCGGCCTCATTCACTCCAGGATATAAAACAGCCGCAGCATACGTAAGCAGGTCATCTTACTCCACTGAAGGCGGCCATTAAAAAGGCTAATTGCATTGAGACAAAATGACTCCCAGCATGCACTCATTTGGACCGGGGCATTTTCGCATCATACTCTCTAGTCACATTGGCCATCAGAACTCCTCATCTAGAATCCGTTGCGGCTGTAATCGTGTTTGGCTCTGATATATTTTTGGGGTCTGTGTGTGTTGCAGGTCACGACTGGCAGACTTCTTTGTCAACTGCCAGCCGGAGCCTCGCTCGCTGTCGGGCTGTCTGAAGGAGAACTACGCAGACTGCCTCCTCGCGTACTCGGGTCTGATTGGTGAGTTCACATGGAGAACTTGATCGTTATTGGTCAGCCGTGTCTTTGCATTCACTCCAGGTTTCTGTGGATTGTTGTTAAATTTTCTTTAATGACATCTTTGAAGGATAATTCAACTCGGATCCTATTTTCGTTGTTTTGTTTCTGTTGTTCTGTACTCAGCAAAGCAAATGCTGAGATTTGGAAAATGCGGAAACATGAGCAGCCATGATCATGAACCATGATCTGACTGGGTGTTGATGGCCGACGGAAAGTTGAGCGCTCTTTGAAATGGTCGTACTAATCCGTCATTGACCAGATAAACTGTATGTGCTAATTTAAGATATAAAAGATTATAATTATGGTGAATCTTACATCCCATATCCCCAATTAGCAAAAAACAACTTAAAATATCAACTGTTAAAACTTGGAAAACTGTATGTGCACAACTTTGGCGAGTACAGTAGGTCAAAGTTGTAGCAGGAGGTGGGGCTGTAAACTGTTATTGATGTTTACACTTTATATAATCTCACCATTCGTCTTCTTTTTTCTCTTTACAATTAAGTCTGTCTAACGTGGAGGTTTGTTTCCAGCCGCATCTGACTCAGCAGTTAACTTGGTGACTACAACATTACAGCTGATTGAAATTATGAACAAAAACAATGAAACTAAGACCCGAGTTGCGTTTCCTTTCATGTAACCCCAGTCTCAATCCTCACCACAGCAGTGAGCTGTCAAGAATTAGTCTTCAAAAGTCGCAGAAACCAGACCACACATACACATACACATACACACCACACTGTCCACACACACACACACACACAGTGCCAATTCATTCTGCCTACTGCAAAACAAAAAGGCCTGTTTTGGAGCGCAGCCAGCACAAGGGAACAATCCATTGGGGGAGTGAGAAATCACTGACTGAAGCTATTTGCTTTCCCTCGCAGAGAGAAAGCCTATTCTTCACCCCGGCTTCTCTGCATTCTGCTTCACTGTAGAGAAACTCACACTACACCACTCCTGTGCATGGGGGGGGGATAAATGCAGCACTGATTTAACTTTGTTATCATGGCATTTATCATTTAACACAGAAGAAGGATGAAAGCTGCATCTTTAAGGGTTTAAATATTCTTTTTAATTCCCCCCCCCCCCCCCCCCCCCCCCCCTCTCAGCCGGCAGCATATTGTGGCTCTTGACTGTAACAATTCACTGAGAAACCATGTTTGTGGATCAAGCATTTCTTCCTTAAACAAAGACACCTTCTTGCAGGTACGGTGATGACTCCAAACTACCTGCGCTCGCCCAAAATCAGTGTGTCTCCCTACTGCGACTGCAGCAACAGTGGCAACAACAAGGACGAGTGCGACAAGTTCACCGAGTTTTTCACCGAGAACACCTGCCTCCGTGAGTTATTCCTCTGACCAGCTGTTGTCTGTTTTCCTTCTACTCTTTTCTATTCCAGCTCAAGCTTATCTGCTCCTCTGAGTTCTGCTCTGTGACTTTCTATTTCCATCCACTCTGCTCAGCGGGGCCCTTTTTTTTTTTTTTTTTTTTTTTTTTTTTTTTTTTTTTTTTTTGTTTTTTTTTTTTTTTTTTTTTTCCTGTTTTGCTCTTTTATCGTCTCTTTTCTTTCCTTGTCTCTCCCTCTCTCGGTCTCCCCTTCTCACCAAATATATCCCATTGCCATGCTCGCATTGTTATCCCTCTGCATTATAGAGCAACCAGTCATACTGCGCCACAGCGGCTGAACGTGTGCGTGGCTAAAAGCTGTAGCAGAACTCCGGCTCCAGATCTCTGGCAGAAAGCAGCTTTTTCATCCAAGCCCTCTTACACAACGGCTTTAATTAACAACCCCCCTCAAACACGCTCTCATGTCTCTGCATCCCACATGCACACACACACACACACACACACACACACACACACATACATACAAACACACCTATTTCCAGCCAAGATTAATATGTTGCGGAGCATTCCTACTGAGCTGTGGTGATAAGAGCCACATTGATTGTGTGTTTCTGTGTAATCAGAGCTAATTCAGCTCCCTCTGTTTTGATGGTGCGCTCTGTCATTCGGCGCGCTGCAACCCCCCGCAACACAGTTTAAGTGTAATGCGATTCTTCATTGATTCTTGCATGGAGGTCAGGACACAGGGTCACACAGACAGTATGTTGCTGAAGGACACCTAAGCTGGATGAATGTTTGTAATCACCTGAGCTCGGATCTTGTTAAAAGAACTGTTGCTGAAACCCGGAAGACTTCTGGACGAGACGGGCCGCAGATTCACCGCGAGATCCACTGACCTTCCTTTTTAATCAAATCTTTTTCCGATCACAAAATCTGTGTCGGCTCCAAAGGATTAGCTCGAGAAATAAAAGTGATCCTACAATGCACTGCCCTTTTCATAGCAGGTAGGTAGTTAACTGGTTAGGATTACATCTGAATGTGTCAAGTGCGGCAGTGATGGTTGGGTTATGATAGACAGTTCCATATGAATCAGGTTTCCAGTGGATAAAACAGGGATTCAGATCTGTTATTGAATCTTGTATCTCTTGTCTCCAATCAGCAAAAACAACTAACATGAATATAAACATCTGGGTAGCAGGCTTCTTTTTAGTCGGTGCTTAATTGGCACTTTAATTAGTTAAAATATCAATTGCAATTTGTATTTTGTTTCTCACTTCAACAAGATCAAGTTAAACCTTCATTTATATCATCCTACTAATAAATGGAGGAATCTGTCTGTCTGTCTGTCTGTTTGATAACGGCTTCAAAAGGAAATGGATTCAATTAGCAGTTTTCTCCTCCACTCGCATAAACAGCAGCTCGACACTCAAATACAAACTGTGGCCTGAGAACAGACTCGCACGGGATGTGATGTTTCTCATATTCGCCAGGTGTGAATCTGTCTTCAGGTGAAAGTTGGCCAGAGTGATTAATTATCTTATTCTAGTCCTCGCTGCACAAGGGCTCTGTTGAAAATATGAAACATGCTCGGTAATAATTGTGATGTTTAGACGTTGTCTAATAGGGACGGAGGTTAAACAGGAAAGTGTCAGCGCTCTCGTAGCAGGAGAGCTGCACAATGAATGTAGTGAAAACCATCCAAGCTAATTTGCTTCTGCACGTTCCCTGTCATAAGCTTCGCTCATGATTTTAGCTATTCACAGTTTACCTGCATCGCAGCGTGCATTCGTGTAGATTACCACACATCGACCACAAGTCACCTCGTTAACCACTCAAAGTATTGGGTAACCTATTGATGAAACAATCAATTTGCAAGGCCGCGGTATTAAGGAATCAGTTGGGTCAGTGTGTTCCTAAGTAGGTGCACGCTCGTAGAAAACGGTGTGCGTTCAAAAATAATGAGCCATAATCACAGTAAGATCGCAGTTGCCGCTGGAGGTTCAGCTCAGCACGAGCGGAGTGGGAGGTTTGATTTCCCTCTGTCAGAATGACAGTTTCCAGATGAGAAAACACCAACAAGATGCAGCCTCATTTTCACCAACTCTTCTCTCTTTCACCCCCTCATTTGTCTTCTCCTCTCCTATTATGTTTTCTTTTTTTCCCCCTCCCTCCCTCTTGTTTTCTCTTCTCTGTTATCATGTTACAGGTCAGGGTTGGATAATAAAGGCTGCTGTTGGCAGTAAGTCTGTGTTTGAGATATGTAGCCAACATGTCCTTTTCCTTCCTCGTGTTAACATGATTTTTACGCTCGCGTGTGTCAACGTGAGATTTGCGAGATCAAAGACGGTTAATGTGGGTTAAAACAAGCTTCCTCTCTCTCTCTCTCTCTCTTTGTGTAGTATTTGGTTGCAGTCACAGCAGGGAGCCGAGCGAAGAGGAGGAATATGCCTCCTCTGACTTTTCATAATTAGTCTTAACTCCGTTCTCTCTTTGACTCTCCGGTTCCTTATGTCACCATTACGACTCCTTCTTTTACTTGTTTTCTCCTCCTGCTTATGCTTCATCTCACTTCTTTCTGCTCATCCCATCCCTCTGTCTCCATCTCCCTCCTTTCACTCCTCCACCCCTCCCTCCTTCTTTCTGCTCTCATTAAGCTTGCTCAGCAGTAACTGGAACTGACAACTCTGAAGATCCTGACACATGCCGGCTACAGGGTCATGACTAGAGAAGAACTACAAGAGAGAATGAAAAGAATAGACAGAAAGAGAGAGAGAGAGGACTTTATGTTCTTTCACTGCATTTTAGATATTTTATTGTTCAACTCATGCTGTGGACAGACACACATTCGTATCAGCATCATCTAATACAGCGCTTCCCAGCCATTCTTGTTCTTGACCCTTCTCCCAACATCAGCAGCGATGTCATATGTCAATTCCAGCCAAAAAGTTTTCATTGGATGATTACAGAGAGTTGTCCTGCGCCACCCCGTAGAGGGGTCCCCACCTCCAGGTTTGAAACCACCGCTTTAATATTCTCAAGAAGACACCGGCGCTTTAATTTATTCAAAGCTCTTATTTCCAGTGTGATGCCTCTCCGCCTTCCTGAATATGTTCTGAATATTCAAAGATTGTGATTCTAGTGTTACAGCAAAACCTCGTACATGTAAAGTGAGATAAAGTGGTAACGCAGACATCTGTGAGAGGCGAACTCTGTCCCGCCAGCACAGATATCTGCTGCAGCGGGAAGGTGATACCACGCTTGTTCAAATGCACCATGCAGTTTGCATTGGGGAAGGTTAAATTAATGTTTGGTTTAGTGCTTTAAAAAGTGTGTGTGTTGGTGTGCGCTTCTCGTTTTAGCGTCTTTCGAGGTTTCGACTTTGCGCGTGAGGATGTGAGGACGCAGGAAAAGAGGACTAGAGGTTGGTTTTTTTTAGGATTTTTTTGGTGGGTTTTTGCTGTTGTTCTTATAAACCAGCGAGTTGAGTCACCAGCAGCAGATCAACAGACAGCACCATGTCTGCCAATTAATGCTCAATTTTCATGTCTCCGGCTCATACAATTATGATTTGTTGTTGGTGCTAAGCTAATATCGTTTCAGGTCAGATGTGTTCATGTCATCAATTCTTGGAATAGATGACGCAGCTCCCAGAGGACCAATGAGTGAGCTGCACATTGTAGCTTCAGTAGCTTTAATGAGACATTTAAATACCACCTCAAGAATTTTAGGGAGCCATCAGTTTTTTTTTTGTTTGCCTTGTTTGCCTTTAAAGCCTCTCTGATCACATTTTAAAGCCCAGGTGAGCTTCATTTCAAAACACATGCATTACTGCAGGGAATCTGAATTCAGTGTGTGTCTCCTGTGAAAATGACTTGCAATAGCTGTTTGCACATTTGGCAACAGTGAGTGTAAAGTTGAAACTATCTGTTCTGCTAAATTTGGTGGTTGAGTTTAGGGTGAACTGCAGGTTAAGGAGTTCCCAAAATTGTCCATCATACAGTTTGGGTCAGTGTAAGGAAGCTCATACATATTAAAGCTCCATGTTTTCTTCTTCTTCTTCTGTTTTATTTGAAGTGTTGATCCATGAGAAGATATACTTGGGGTTTTAAAAACCAAAAAACCATCTCAGTGTAGTTTTACATCTCCTCTCTCAGGCTTCTCTCTGGAGCTCTAATAACAACAGGTCGGTCAGGTTTGGATGGTGGGTCCAGGTGGGCGGGGCTTGGTGACTGCTTTGTTGTGACATCACAAAGTTGCAGAAGTCCTGACGGCTGGTTTTAAGGCTCAGTTTCTGAATACAGGCTGTGTGCATTTCTCTGTGGACTGAGGCTTTGATACTTTCACAGTATTAATGTAGAACCTAGACCTGATCTATAATCACACTACACATGGGACATCTATCTTTACATTATATGGGACCTTTAAAAGTACAAATGTGTGTTGTCCGGTCTGCAGTGGCTGTGAATCGTTTTTATGTATCCTGACTGAAACAGTAGCAGAGGTGCAATTTTCTTCTGCCCCTGAATCTTTTGAGAAAAGGCATAAGCTCTACAGTATGTGTGTGGCTTTATTATCCAAATAAACTCAAAGATTAGTGCTGTACCCTTAAAGTAATACCTTCACCTCTTGAAGTTTAATCTGTCTGGAGCACATTTACCTTAATTAGGGATCAGGTTTGTCAGGTTGTGTCTGTTCAGTGTCAGTGACAATGTCAGTGTCACTGAACCCTCGCTGACTAATATGCTCAAGTTAGCTGCTGTGTTGATGACATTTTCAGTCACAATGAGACATCATTATTATGCTTCAGTTATGCACACAGAAGGTTTTAGCTTCCACTTAAGATAATGAGACCAAGAACGCCCTTATCTTGTAAAGCTAGTGATCAAACGCAGCTCTGATACTGAAAGTATGATAAGAATGGGAAACAGGTCTCAGACTTTTGGACCTGCACAGAATGAAAATAGAAATGCACATGCCATGTAACTGGATCTGCAAATACAGTATATGTGTTTTTAGAGAGGATTTGTTTATGATTTGTAAATTTGGATTGATTTTTAATATACAATACAAATGTGTTTTTGTACTCTAAGCCTCCATCTCCACCTTCCCAGAGGAAATTCAGTTGATTATAAACAAGCAATAAGACAATGAATGTATAAAGAGAGGTGTCAGACAGGCACCAGATAGATACTTAGACAATATTTTATATTGCATTTACAAAAACATCTACCAAACAGGAGTCAGCGACGCACTCATGCTCATCTGTCATCGCAAGGCTTAGTTTCTGTGTGTGCAATTAGGCCTTAGGTGAGGAGACGGAGCCGATCAACATTTACAATATGCTCATCAGGCTTCTGCTGTCTCGGCACAAAGCTACCAGCTCAACAATCACATGCTCACAGACATAAGCAAAAAATTAAATATGCACATGCACACTCACGAGCAAACGTCGCACATATGAGAGCTGCAGGATATTGACAAAAATTGCTTATTTTGTGCTGAATAATGCATTTCACATGTGAATGCCAACAGCTTTTTTTAATATATATACATTTAAAATGTTTGGAAGAATAGTTAGTGTGAATAACATTTTAAAGATGGGGCTTGTCTCATTATATGTGTTGCCCTAATCCCTTAGACACAGTATATACATATTAAATCTCACCCGACTCCATCATATTGTACAAGAACATTAAGTTCTTTCTTTTTGATTGTTTGTTTTTTGTTTTTGTTTTTCCAGTTATCACGAAATCAGATGTAATTTTCCTCCATTAATCTGGGCATCACACCACAGTAGTGACCTTTATATATTATCCTTTTTTCAGCGATGCGGCGCCGGTGCCGAATCTAGACCTAGTTCCTTCAAAAACTAAAAAGTGCACAGCAGCACAAAACTGCAGGAACCCAGTCAGTGGCTGTGGGAGGGGCTGCAAGGAGGTGATGTAAGATGAAATGACTTTAAAGTTTGTGATGGAAATCTGAAAATGAAAAGTTGACAAAAGTGACCAAGTCGTCTTTATATATTTTAATAAAAGCTTCGCAAAAGGATCAATCGACCGATATCGAACAAAGAGTATACATGAACTTTATAGAGAAAAGAAAGGTGGAGGCAGGGTGTGTGGTTGTGTTTGTGTGTGTGTGTGTGTGTGTGTGTGTGTGTGTGTGTGTGTGTGTGTGTGTGTGTGTGTGTGTGAGAGAGAACAATCCTGGATGTCATCCTGACTGTCTAACTGCCAAGACGAAGTAGCTGCGTGTTCAAGGACAAAACTACTCCTTAGTTTGTACCGGACAGAACCAGAGACGGAGCATAGTACATGTGAGGACAGATTCACGTCCAAAGTTATACAAAGTTCAAAACCAGGTTATACAAAGTGATTTTTCTATTTAAAGGTAAATTTAGAAAAAATCAAGCAAAACAGTTGGGTTGTGTCAGCCATGATTTCTTACCCACCTGCGCTCTGTACCGTTCTACTTCCTCTCCTTCTGAGGCAAGCAGCGAATTTGGTGCGTTACCGCCACCGACTAGTGTGGAGGTGTAGACATGTGAGCGTCTTTTGGGACGTCTGGTCTTACTAGAGGTCAGTTCAGCAAAGCAGGTGAAGTGAGGGAGTGTCCGGCTCTGCTTTAAGATCAATCTTAGTTTGTTAAACGTGCCGAGTGGAACGAACTCCGAGGTTTCTCTCCAGGTCAGGGTGAGTTTAAAAGTGGAAGACAGTTTCGCGGGGGGGGGAGGAAAAGAAAGACAAGAGGAGGGTGAGACCCTGCTGCGTACACGTGTTTTAAGTGTCTCCAGACACACGAGAGAGATCCATCCAGTGAACATCTCTACATGCACACGACTGTCCAAATGTCCTGTCCTCGACGGGCCTACTGGTCAGCCACAATCATCCTTCACAATTCTTCAAAAATCTGAAGTATGAATGTTGCCGGTTTGTGCCGCAGCTGCTGCTTTGGCCCCGCAATGCAACTTTAGGGCATGAGGATGCCACAGTGCAGAGGTCTGGTCTTAAGTCAGAAAATTTGCTGACTTCACACTGACGAAATCCAGAGAGACTCGCAACTTGACTTTTACTCAGCACGCCCTCACGCCAGCACTACGACAAGAGTTTTTTTTACTCTACTACTCATATATAGATATTCAGAGACAGTATACATTCAAATTATACTTAATTACATGTGTAAATTATGCAGAAACGCCAGTATCATTTGTTGTGACGTACCTTTGAATGAATGCATATGATTTAACAGTGGGAGGCGGTTGAGCTGTGTAGAGAGTCTGCACAGACAGACAACGGGAAAGAAAAGACTGATGGGTTACTGTGTTAAAGACAGCTTGCACTGATAAACTTTTATTTTAATGTGAGACAGATAAATGCATTTTATTTTGAAAACCACCTATGTCTTATATGTAGAACAGAAACAGAAACAGATTTTCATAACACAACTAGAACTGTGTTTTCTTATACTTGGCGTTAAGTTTGGTAAAGAATACAATAAAAAAACAACAACTTGAGCCAACGAGGTGAATATTTCTGTCCATCATTCGGACAAATCCACGTGTCTTTGCACATGTGGATGTGAATATTTCAGTGAGGTTAAAGAGCCATTATGCAGATGAGCTCTCTCTTCCTTCATCACAGTATCAGGGTCATAATTCACTGTTGGGGGGAAGAGTATCGGTGCATCCACGCAGCATCTCTGTAGAGCTCAGCTTTCCTCTGATGTGAGTGTGAGTGTGAGAGTGTGTGTGTGTGTGTGTGTGTGTGTGTGTCTTTTTACATCAAAGCCATAGAAGGCTATTAATAGGGCGACTAATGGACTCTAATGGTAAATAGCTACATCAGCACTCAGGTTTTTGACTGTGTGGTGAATTTATAATGGAGCCAAGTGATAACAAAACCTAAGTACCTTCTAACTCACCTTTAATTGTGGTTTAGGCCGGTGCAATATAAAGCTTTATTTTAACATGGGGACTAACAAGCGTGTGATTCATGACGAGATCCAGCTTGGTGCTAAAGGGACCTGCTCCGAGTTACGATGTGGTAGTTGTGGTGCGGCAGACTGACGCTTTACCAGCTCGGCTTATCTCCAAGTCAGACTCACCAGGAGATGTGTTTGGAGCTTTTACAATAAATAATAAAATTACTCGCTCGCCTTTTTCTCTTTTGTTTTGTTGATTTACTTATTTCCTCTTATTTCTTTATTTTATGTATCTACCGCCTTCCTCCCTCCACAGTTAATAGGTTCTGTCTCACACCTCCACCTCTGTAGGTAATGCCATCCAGGCCTTTGGGAACGGAACAGATGTGGGAGTGTGGCAGCCGATGTCCCCCGTCCAGACCACCACCTCCACCACCACCCCCTACCAGAGGAACCGCGAACGCAACCCCAACACCATTGACAACCACATCAACACAGACCCCGGCATCTACCACTTCTGTGGCAGCCTGCAGGTGAGACTTAGACACACACACACACACACACACACACACAGTCTCCAGCTAGTTTTGGATTCAGAGGACCACTGCGCTCAGAGAGGTTCAAGGGTTCCAGCCAGTCTGGGACAAATCTGATCCCATGACATGAAAACATCTCAGAAACTTTCTCTTTTTTATTCCTTCTTCTTCTTTGTAGAGAGAAAGATTTTACAGATGGCTCAAATTTTCAGAGTTACCAATTCTCTTTATCTGAGCCGCTGATCTTTCTATCCTTTTCTATCAGTCTCACCATCCATATATCAACAGTGTCTGTTCATCTACTGTCGGTCTGTTTGTCTGTTTCTGTTACGTACCTCACTGCCTCTCCATCCTCCGGCTCACTTTCTATCTCTTTTCACTTTGAGGCAGGCGGCTCCATTTGTTTATCTAGTTCCGTCGCAGCACAAAATGTGTCAAGATAAAGCAGTGAATCAAATACTGAAAATAATGTTAGGGTTGTCCGTACTGAGGACTTATCTTATGAGTAAAACTTCGACAGCAGTTTCCAGCGAACGACCCTCCGACAAGTCGCAGGCAACAAGTTACTGTCGTGGTGGAGAAAGTGGAACATTTAGCAGCTAGAGATCCAAATAGAGACCGAAAAATAGAGCTGAAAGCAGAGTGATGTTAGAGAGCAGCTGTTTGCTATGTTAGCCGTAACAGTTTTTGATAGGACAGCACAGTAGCGGAGCTGTGTGAGTTTGATCTGGAGTCGATCGACCCTGCGGTTGTCAAAAAAATCACAGAACACAGATTTAATATCTAAAGATTTTAACCTGTAATAACTTCATGTTTTGTTAGAACAGCATGTAAGATAGTATCTCACTTTGGAGCAAAATATTTATGCAAAGTATTATAGTTATAAAATACTGCGTACAGCATCAAAATGTTCCCATGTCCCATGTATCTGCCCTGATCAGGATTGGTCAGCGTGTCACCACTGTGTGTGTGTGTGTGTGTGTGTGTGTGTGTGTGTGTGTGTGTGTGTTGTGTAGATTGATTGTGTAGCTAACTGTGAAAGTGTATTTCTCAGCTGGCAGCAGCGACACTCTGCTCTACAGGAACAAGAGTTACGTAGCTTGATGAAACAGGAGGGTTTACCTGCAGCAGTCCTGAACGCCGGCGTTGGGCCGCTCCTGGTTCAGGCGGGAGGTGAAGATAACACTGTTATTACCAGCGGAGTGATGACAGAGACTCAGAGAGCCATCTCACCTATAATAATACGCCAGCATCATAAAATCACTGAAGCTGTTAATTGTTTACAGACGCTTACAGAAATATCCTCCCGTTATTTCAAGCTGAAATCCTCCTTTAATCATTGTTTCTGTAAACAACAATCTCAAGCGTAATCACCTCTTCTGTTTGTGTTGCTGTTTTTGAAGGCTCATACGTTTACTGATATCAAGCACTAGTTGTTTAGAGAGTACTGTCTATGCTGTGGCTTTAAAGCCCCAATCTGAACATAATCACACATAATAACAGTACGTTACTAAATCCAGTTTTCCACCCTCAAAATAACATCTTTATTTATTTATTTAGTTTCCACAAAGTGTAACATGTTTCTGGTCACCTGACAAATGTAGCTCACTCTCCTTTTAGCTCTGTTTCGGTCTCCACCGACTCCTGAGGAAGTAGCTGGTTCTTCAGCCGCCAAACACCGCTAATGGTCACCAGCTAGTCGCTGACTTTGTCCATCTGAAGTTTTGCCGCCGCCTACATCAGAGCTTTTACACTGAGAGCAAAAACAAGCTGAAAGATGCTAAAATGCTCAGCAGAGCGTGTGTAGTTATTCTCTTTTGTCTGTCACTTTTTTTTTTTTCCATCACAGTCAGAGTCGGTGATCCGTTATTGATATAAAAATATGAATTTGTGCAGAAACCGGAAAAGAAACTGTAAGAAAAACACAGATTTCATCAAAAAGAATGAAGTGAATTTACAGATAAATCACAAACTTTTGATTAGTGCTAATCTGTGTGTATTTGAAGATGTTAGCAATAACAACACTGACATGTTTTTAACACGAACTTCCGCTCATAAGAACAAACCTGTGTGACACACCTGTCAGTCAGTGTGGAAGTGATAGCATGCTTAGATTTGAATCATAGATTAACTTAATGTCCATAAATGTTTTGAGCAAAACAAGACTAGAATTTAATAGTACTGTTACCGCCGCAACACACACACACACACACACACACACACACACACATATATATGCAGGTTTACAGACCTGCAAGTTTAGTTCACACAGACAGAAACTGTAGATAAATGCAATTACACACTCCTCCTGCACACATAAACACACACAAATGCAACTGCACTGACTCACTGACACACACACACACACACACACACACACACACAGTCTGTACTGATAATGAGCTTTGGTGGTGTACTGGTGCGTGTGTGCTGTCGGCACTGCTCTGATAGCACGTCAAGTACGAGTTAATGAGAGAGTTGTTGTTAAACCACTTTTCTAGTGTGTATATACAGTATGTGTGCACAGTTCCCCGTTGTATTGGCGTGTGTTTGCATGCATACATATGTGTGTGTGTGTGTGTGTGTGTGTGTGTGTGTGTGTGTGTGTGTGTGTGTGTGTACACATGAAGGCAGGCTATACTGTTGTAATGACACACTCGGGGGACAGGCCTGTCAGAAGACTCACTCCAGTACGCTCATTGATCTCTCTCTTTCAGACACACACACAAATACTCACACACACACACACACACACATACACACAGAATAATAACCATTAACCAGTGATCCGATGACAACCAAGCAGCACTTACAGCGCTGCGTTTACCTCAGCTTGACAGAATAAAAGAGAAAAGAAAGGTGGACGGTGTAACCAGCTGAAAGCTCCTTAGCGCCCAGTGAGGTTTTTTCTTTAGCAGCTGGAGGAAAACCAGCTTTAGGCCTGTGTGCCTTCCACTTTCCCTTTCTGTCAATGTTCACGAATGGAGTTCGACTCCTTTGTGAAATGTTCAGACAAAGTGCTTTTGACCGTAAGCTTCAAACCAAATTAGAAACGTGCAGCTCTCTATGTCGTCGTCCTTTCTTGTACTCCGGTGTAGCTTCGCCTCTTCTCTTCTTTCTCTTCCTCTCTTTAATTTCCCTCCTCCGTTGCCTTTGTGTGTGATGTAAACGTGTCACAAAGTGAGAAGACGCCGTCTTCCTCCTGAGTTTTCAAATGAAATTAAAACACTAGAAGGACTATTTCCCTCTGTGTCATCGCACAGAAGAGCCACCACAGATAAAAACATATACACTGCAGACACACACATGCACGTCGGCACTCGGTGTGCAAACCCCGGGGCTCCATCAGCTTGTTCTTATGAATATAGTTGACTCCAAAAGCAGGCAGGAAGTGCCCTGGACAAATATGGAAATCTACCACATGCTAATGTGACTTTTCAGAACAGGCAGGTATTAGGCAAATGTAAAACATGTGGACATGGGGCAGCAAAATTTGAATTTGTTGACGTCCAAATCTTTTTTTGAATGGAAATAAGCATTGCTTTGTTTTATATTATACAAGTACTGTGAAGATTTATTTGCTTTTGTAATCACAAGCGAAGCAGTGTACGAGCGAGTGTGATCTAATTTAAAGGGTCATTTCACCCAAATGAGAAAAAATTTGATGCTGTATCCATCAACCACTGCTGCGATTTCAGACTCCACGCCAAATACAGTGGAGGTCAACGGGATCTTCTCACAGGATTGGAAAAAAAAAAATGACTAAGACCTCTCAGTCGTTTTAGAGGAGGCTGCAGTCCTGTGCTCGGAGTGATGGTCATGTCGGGAGTGTTGTTTACGTTAGATCGTTGCCTTTAAATCTGATTTCAGGAGGAGAAAACTTCTGAATTCCACCTTGCAAACTGCTGACTGTGTTAGTTTTTAAACATCGTGGAGACGTTATGACAGTGAAATCTACGGCGGTGGCAGATGGAGTCTACGTTCAAGAAATTCACATCCCCGTAATTGAAATTTCCAGCTGCAGGATTTCAGACTTTCATAACGGCACCGATCGTTACCGTTGGTCTTCTCTCGGTTGTTTCTGAGACGTAGAAATGTTTGACACCTTTAATTCGTCTGTGACAGTGACTCTAAGCGCCGACGAGACCTCGTCATGAAGCACGAGCTGTGTTTAGTCATCGTCTTCCTCAGTTCACTTGTATTTTCTGCGACCATGCTTGAAATTCTTGGCTTGTTCCTCTGTTTGGGTCTTTATACAAAGACACTATGATTTATAGACGTAATTCCACCTAAGCTTTGTCTGTTTTTTTTTTTTTTTTTTGTGGTTTAGTGCTGAAGCAAAAGTGTAATAACAGAATACGGTTTCTCACTTTCTGTATTACCATGCCCGCTACATCCCGTACATCCCTATTTTTGGTCTGAATTCACTATACTGTATACTAGAGCCATTTGTTATTCTGTCACACCCAGAGCCTGAGCACACACACACACACACACACACACACACACACACATACATACATACCCATAAGCCAAAACTGGAGTTACATTCACTTACAGCATCCAACCTGAATACAGAGATTCAGTGTGCAGGTCATTAGAGGCAAGGGGAAAAGAATATATATATATATACAGTATATATACTCTGTGTGTGTGTGTGTATATATATATATATATATATATACCTGCTGAGAGAACCAAACTCATAATCAGATGCTTAATTTACCAACTACACAACAAAAATACAAGATGCTGAGAAGCTGATTGCAGCACCCGCAGCGCGACGCAGCAAATCAACTCGTCGTGCAATCAACACAAGTGGTAATCACTTCTGATCTGTTTGGAAATTACAAAAAAAAACAGAAGTGCACAGATACAGAGGAGAGAAGGAAGATTACCAGTGTGATGTGTCATCACCGAACAAATGTCATGTTTATTTGTACTTTTTTCTGTTCGTGACGTGACTGGATTTTTTAAAGCTGGTGTAATTAGGTCGCGAGTACATGGTTTTTAATAGAGAAACCTCTGAGGTTGACGTGCTTTAAGTCAAAACATTTGTTGCTGCATTTCACCAAGAAGCTCTCACTAACACCCCGCCTGTTTAGCCTCTGAGTTGAGATCCGAGTTGATTGGTTAAAATGTGTTTTTTTTTTTTTTTTACGTGATTACATTTTTAGATGCAGTGAATATTAAAGTTGCTGCTCAGCCTCTCTAGAAAATCACATTAATCTCAAATGATTCTGCAATTTTATTCAATCTCATTGCTCACTGCCGGCACAGGAAGTACAGTAGTGTGTCCTTTGCAAAGTAAGTGTAGTGCGTCTATTTTTCAGGGGAATAGATTTTGCATCCTGTTAGAGGCCAATAATTAAAGATTTTTTATTTTTTTTCTACTGTAACCTTGATCTTTTCCTAAACTAGTTTAAAGTGTTTCCTAAGTTTTCCTGACAAACTCTAGTGGTCATGTTTCAAATCTACCATCAGCCCTGTTTACCCAGTAATTATACTGTATCTATAATATACTATTCTACACATAGACTTGTCATGAAAGTTCTCCTTTTTATCAACTATAACCCTAATCTTTACGTCACTGTGCCCAAGTGTTTTAATTGCCGAACCTCAACCGTAACCACAACTTTTCCTTATATTAACCTCATGAGATCCCTCACCGTCTTCCCACTGTGAACACAACCAGTTTAATAAAACCACAGGTCGTCGCCGTGCTTGATGAGAACTTTACTTCACCTCCAGTCAGCCACGGGTTAGTCCGACCGTCCTCTAATGATAGACGCTCGTTTATTTCGTGTGTGTGTGTGTGTGTGTGTGTGTGTGTGTGTGTGAATGAATGACAGAAGTCTATATTTAATAGCAAAGCCAGAGGAAGTGAGGTGCCATTGTACTCCCAGAGAAAGCCCGAGGGAGGAGGTCAGGGTAATTAACTTCAAACACTAAATGTCTTCTTTAAACCCTGAAGGTGATTTTTTTTTTTTTTTCTCCAAATCTTAACCAGGTAGTCTTAGTAGCCTGAACATGTAGACCTAAAACAAACTGCTTGCCGACTGTTTTGGTACAAGACCTGGTTTTAGCAGATACACTGCACGAGCTCAAATTTTAATAACCCATTATTAATACTCAGTAAATTACATGAGAACGCACTGAAGCAATCGCAGCATCAGTAATTGGTGTCATCTAACCTTCTTATACACACATGGAAAGTGTGTGTGTGTGTGTGTGTGTGTGTGTGTGTGTGTGTGTGTGTGTGTGTGTGTGTGTGTGTGTCTGTGTGTGTGAGTGTGTTTGAGAGAGAGAGGGAGGGAGGGAGGGAGGGAGGGAGGGGGAATCAAAGACAGTGTGTCCGAGCACACGACGGTCACTGAATGATAAATATGAGATGAAATCAGAGTCTGGGTCGGACTGTCCCTCTGCGCTCAGCCTCGCTCTCCTTCTTCTCTTTCTCCTTCTTCTTGAGTGTAAATATCAGAGGCTTTAAAAGTTTTACAGGCCTCTCAGCGTAAACTCTCCAAGGTTATTGGAGTTTTTCCAATTTAGCTTCAGTTTCCAGCCTGCGCTCACGATCAGATCAACAGCGAGCTCTCAGAAAAGCAATGAGGATTTAGTGTTGCCTGCGTGCTGTTGGTACCTGCTGGGTTAACATGATGCCAGAATAATTTCACTCTAATGAGACTGTTGATTGTTCCATTGATTGTTGATCAAAACAAACGAATTACTGCAGATTCTGAGTTACCGTCTTGTAATGTGAATAATCTTTCTGACATGGATTGTGTTTCTTTGTGTTTTTTCTTTTGCAGGCTCAGAAATTGAAGTCAAACTCAACTGTTGATGGTGTCTTCTGCGTGGTAAGCTTCTCTTTGACTGTGTGACAAAATGCATTTAGTGAATTTCAGTAAATAAAGGTGCAAGGAATAAAATGAATAATAAATGTAGTTCGGGATGGATCTCTACGGGTCTCATTCACAGTCATGTAGTTGCTGTTGATGAGAGGACAAGGAAAACTTCCCTCACCTGTTAAATTCTTTGTTACAGTTGTATTGAAGATAAAAATGCATCTCTAAAGCAACCAAATCCAAGTTTTATGAGCATCCTTGGATGCACTAACAAAGTCAAGGCAAAATATCAAACCTTTGACTGAGAATAAATGGGCTACAATAATTGGAAATGACAAATGGCCTGTCTTAAGCCGTGTTTCGTGTCCCTGTAACCTTATTACTGCGGTGCATTCAGATGTTATATACTGGCAGCGCAGCTTCGCTCGGTCAAAAGTGCTATCAATAAACAACGTCTTTAATTTGGGGGAAAATATCAAAGCCTTTAAAATCCTGCACACAACTTGTCTTTCTCAAATTTATCTCAGAAAACAATTTTATTTAAGACCAAAAGGCAATTGCTCAAGTTATCAAATCATCACAAACTCTAATCCAACCTCGCTGCTGGAAGTCTCTGACCTCCCTCTGACAGTGATAGCCGTGGCAATCCCTCCTGCCTCCTTTGTAAACTCCTCTTCTTTGTAGTTCCTTTGAGGCTGAAATGGGATTGTTGCTTATCTGGTGGCTTTTAAAGTTCACTGTAAATGTCATTGTACAATAATAAGGCACTGTTATGCACTGGACTGACATTTAATAGAAGCAGGGACAGGTCTCGGGGAGATGACCCAGCCCGTTAGCTTGCAGCTTTATTAGCAAGCCGAAGACCGATGGTGAGGTCCTATTCACACACACATAGTTACACATGGTGGCACATGCAAATACGCACACACACACTAACACACACATGTACTTTCTAGCTTCCCACTGTGGCATTTTATTTATAAAAACAACCTTTTGATTTTTTTTTTTCCCGTGTCATACCAGATGAATATATTCACAGAGTTTTTTATAGGTGATATTATTGAATTAAACAGTCTAATATCTTTATGTTTGCCACGTCTCTCTTGCATCAATTAAACTCCAACCTTTAGTCCGACATATCTCCCAGCGGGTTTAAGATGACAACACTGGAAAACATCATCATCACGTCTTTGTGATGTGTGATGCATGAATAAATTAAGACCCAACACCGCAGAAAAAAATGAGAATGATGCTTTGCATGAAATGCTTGGCAGAGTCTTATGTTATTGTTGTTTATGTTGATCATCATTTATCAAGCTGTCACGAATGTGCTGTGGATAAGATCCGCAGGCACCTGCCACAACTGATTTCTGAAACTTTGTTACGCCACAATCTGGACATTCGGAGCAGATGAAGCCGTTTCCTCCGAATGAACACATCTTCAGGACGATTGTTCGGCCCGGAGAACGAGGAGATGGATGTGTGATAACCAGATTACTGTTTTTACAAAACAAGCTTTACAGTTTACACAGTTTTACCTCTCAAAAGTTTTTCATCATCTTGGGCTGTTGAAATGACCAAACATACCTGACATACCATAACATTAACATTACATCCACAGCTGATTTCCTGTTGTGTTCAGCTGACTCGTTTGAAAATAAGAAACCTGAATTTTTTACTTATACTACTATGTACGACGCATTTCATGACCCCGTAAATCATATGATGCTAACTCAAAGCTGCAATGATGCAAAAAAAAAAAGAAAAGTTAAGGTCTTAGCTAAAGCATCCTCACCAGTTGAAGACAAGAAGACTTAGATCATCACTGTTTATTGTAACAGGACCATGTTTTTTGGCAGATTTTGGGTCCATTGGAAACAAATTAGTAGTAATCTGCCAATTTTCTTTTTTCTTTTACAAATAATTCATAAAAAGCTGAAAAGAAAAAATCTCTCAGATCTCAATGTGACTGACCGCTCTCATCTTTCTTCCTTGCTCTCTCTCTCTCTCTCAGGATCCTCAGATAGACGGTCCAAGTACATCCAACGCCATCCTGAGAAACTCGGCTGTCTCCAGACGGCCCGCGGGCCTGGCCTCTCTGCTGCCCCCGCTGCTCTGGCTGTGGTACTGCAGCCTGCCGGCGCCTTCCTCGCCGGGCGACTTGTAGCCTCGCCGCCTCACAGCGACGAGCTACGACGGACTGACAAACACACATTTGTATAAAAGAAAAAGCAAAACAAGAAATGATATGCTTTCTTCTCAGTAACACCTGTTGTACTTTTTATTTCCCCCTGGAATCTGTCTCTATTTTGATTCCTACTTTGATTTTTTTATGAATTTTTGGAAAGCTTTGTTGTTTTAATGTTTTTTGTTTTTTGTTTTTTTGCATTGCAGCTGTGTGCTAAAACGGTGATCTACTATACGTGTTAACTCAGTTTGGCTGTGTGTTCCCTTTGGGTTAGTTGAAAAAAAAAAACAAAACAAATGGGATTTAAAGCTTTCGTGTTGCTCAACTTTGGGCAGAAATGGCAAAATACCGGAGGACTACATTCCAGTAAACCACAGCCGGTGGCTCTTGGAACGGTTCGCAAAATGTAAATTAACATTGATTTTCGGAGTCGTCAGATGAGTTTTCACCCACGTCTGTTTGTGTGTCGAGGCTATAGGTGGGATCTTTCGCTTAAAAGTCACAGTCAGTTCAGTAACAGCTACATTTTATCACACGGGCAGCTTTTTAGATGTTATTCAGTCTCCTCTGTGTGGTTTGTGTATGTTTTGATAATCACGTGATCTGGTATTTAAAAGTTTCTATGAGCTGAATGAAACGTCTACCTGACAACAAAAAAAAGAAATGTCACTTGAAAGCCTTTTTTGTTTTTTTTTTAATTTTCAGGGTGAACACCAAAAACTTAAAACATCAGAGAAGATACAAACATCTGCGCCCAAACCGTCTTCACTGTAGCTCATACTGAACACACGCCGCCGCCGCCACCGCCGCCGCCGGCAAAAGCACACAGGCGAAGACCCACGCACACATACCGCACACTTTCACACATTCAGACAAAAACACACAGGAACACACACACACACACACACAGGACCAGGCCTCTGCTCCCCTCTTTCTTTACACCTCGATTTGCCAACAGAGTGACGCCCGGAGATCACAGGGCCGCGGGTTGTACGCTGCTGTGGATGGCTGAATCCACTGCACTCATTAGTGATTGTACATACTTGTAACTGTTAGAAGTCCAAGCCATGTTTCACCTTTCTGTTTTTTTTCAGTTGAGTTTTGATGTACTTTGCTGCGCTGCGTCCACAGAAACAGACGAGAGCTGAGGAAAAAAAAATAAAAAATAGGCTTATTGTTGTAGAGTATATTCCATGGTAACTCGACGCTCACAGCATCCGCATCCGTCAGTTCAGTGTTGCGACTTATTGCCTCAATTGTGAAACTGTCGACACGCGTTTGGGGGAAGGGAGCGATCACTTTAAATTGACCATTTGCTCGAACTCCACCACCCTCAGTCGCTGTCCACACACCTGTCAAGTTTCGCATCCTAGCATGGCATGCACACAGTTTACCGTAACCGTGGCACGGAGAGCGCCTCTCGAGATTGGTGGTAATTTTGAGAATAATTAACTAAAGTGCGCTTGTAAATTTTACCTAGTGAACAGTCACTGACATCAGCTGTTGTGTTGATTGGAAATTTCTCCATCTGACCGATCGATGATTCATGTAGACGTGAGGACACGGTAATAAAGAGACAGTGTTGTTATATTTCAGGGATATAATGAAACATTATCAGATTAGACTGTTATTTTCTTCGAATGTGACTCCATTTAAAGCTGCAATAGGTAACTTCTGCATTAAAACGTCTAAAAATGACTAGATATATTGATATATATTGTGTTGAGTTGCGTTCTTACATTATCCAAAACGATTCCCGTCAATTCTCAAACACAGAGAAATCTGTGATTTCAATCATGGTAACGGTACGTGTCATTTGGTCACCTGTCGATGACGTCATATCCCGTTCACGATTGCCTGTCAGAAGCATCGTAATTGACCTTGAATCGGGTTTTAAGCCACCTTTTTTTTCTACATCTTGGTCGTTTTCAACAATGTATTTTAACCAGATGAAGGGAAACTCCCAGCGGCAGAAGTTACGTACTGTGCTTTTAAATGCTTTTATAGAAAAACAACACGAACGTGAGAAAAGAGAAATGTCTCTGAGAATGAGGAGTAACCAACAAGTCAGGCAGAGCTTTTAACAGTGACTGTGACCGTTAGCTAAGCACGCTAACATTGGCAGCTTACGCTACAACGTCTTGCTGGAACATCTTGTTCTGGAAAGGTGGAAAAAAAAACAAAAAAGAAAAGAAAACCACATGACTCCATCCACTGCATGTCACTCCAGTGTGCACGGTTACGGTTGCTAAGCTACGGTTGGACAGTTGCTGTTGCGTGTTCAGGTTTCAGCAGATGGTCAGTTCACTCTCTGTTTTTATTTTTGTTTTGTTTTGTTTTTTTAAAAACTCCAGCAAACACGTGACATGTGACTGATGTACTGTACTAAAATCTTCTGAGCATTTGTTTGTCTGCTGCTTGAGGACTGCTGGGAAAAAAAAAACAAAAAAAAAAAGCACCACAGCATTTCTGTCACATTCAGTTCTCAGATTGTAGATGAGCATCTGATGTCATCAGCTTTTCAGATGGAGGCAATGGTTTTTGAAACCCCCCCCCACCCCCCACCCCACCCCCACCCCCCATTCCCATCACCACCACCACCCCCAGAGGAAATCCAACCCAACCTGATCAGGACGTTTACATTCATCACTGTGGCATGTTCAGCAGGTTACTTTAGCCATTTGGACACCGGAAAGAGCATTTACGACACGCTGCTTGGGTTTATGTAGCTTCTCAGAACATGATTAATGTATAGTAGAACTTAAATGTTATTTACTGAGCATAAACATGGTATATGCACTGTATGTACTTGGCTGAAACTATAAATTGGACAAATAAATGTCTGATGATCTTCTGTTCCAGAGCATTGTGAGCTATTTTGACATTCAGATACAACATAGAGTACATGGAATAAGCCAGAATATTGTTTTTTTATAACAACTTATATGTATATTTCTCCCAGTATGTACATGATTATGGAATATTATTGCATCTGAGAAAGAGGATATCAATGTAACTCTCCTACTGTAGTTATACACGACTGTATTTCCTAAGCATATTGTTTTGTACCATAGCCCCATTTATGACGTTGCTTACATATAGTATTGATTTTCTTTTCTTTCTTTTTTTTCTTGGCTAAGATTTGAACTTATTTTTCTATCTTTTACTAATTTTTACTGTGTCGATGAGTCAAAGTGAATGAGATGGGCCAGCTACAGATTGACAGTTGTTACTGTGCCGTTACAGTAATTACTTTGGTTTTACTGCTGAAATAATTACGGTGACGGTCACTAGAAGCTGGGCAAGAAAGAACATTGTCATTGCATGGTGACTGTGAAGGAAATGAATCAAATGTTTAAAGACAAATATATTCTATACCATACCATTTGAAGGCTTTTTTTATGGTATATTTTAGCAGAGGTGGGCGAGTGGGCGAAGTCCCACAGATTGAATGTGTGCGGTTTGGATGGAAAGTGAAAGAGAAATGTTACGACAAAAAAACTGGGACTGATCACATTTCTCAGAATTGTGTCTTAAAATACGTCTGATCGTTTTATATTTGAATCCCAGAGTCATATCTGGAATATGAGCTAAAGTTTATAGAGATGGTTCAGTGCTTCACCTTTCTTTGAAGAGGCCTCAAAACTGGGGGTCACTTCGTCCTGACGTTAGGATCCCACAAAAAGGGATAAAGATGGTGAATAAGTTTGCCGTCCATCTCCATCCCATCTGTTGTTTCAAAATACCAGAAATGGCTTTTTTGGAGATGCAGGCTCCCTCAGCTATCCGGCATCATTAACTTCTTAGCTTGTGAAAATGTAAAATCTATTGTACAAAAGTTATAATTAAAAACTGTTAAATCACCCACACTGTTTGTACATGTTGTCATTTCACTCAACAAAGATGAAAAGAGATTAAAGAAGGTTTGAGGTCATCGGAGAGGCCGATGAGACCACATGACCAAGACGAAGGAAACGTGAAGAAACAGGCATCTGAGGTTTCTCACAACTTTTTTTTTTTATAGTTTTGGCCAACCAGCATGAGGGGAAAGGGGTCACATCAGGCCATGTTAGCACTCAGTGGTGATAAATGGGAATAAACCAGAAACCAAGAGAACCTGTACAAACCGCCTGAATCGAAGGTGACATGTTCACCTGAGAGCAGCAGCAGGCTGATGAGTCCGTTTATGTTCAATTTGAAATGATTACTTCAACATTATCCTTAATGGTGTCTGGCTGTGAAGATAGTTTGGGTTTTAGATGCTGAAGTTTTATTTTATCAATCTATGGCTCTTTCTTCTGCGACCAGTTTTCAAATGACTGAAAAATAATATTAGAACATCTCCAGGCTTGGCAGCCCTTAACTATAAACTTGTTTTATTTTTGCATCGTTGGGAGGAGTCATTGTAATTCACTGAAAAAGTCAATACCAATTTGGTGGAATGAATTGAAAATTGCCCCCAAAAAAAAGCCAATAGAATAACTTATTCCATTCTGCAAACATTTCAAGATGTTCATCCATTCAGTGTTTCATAAAAGTTGCAGGAAGGTTTTGTAAGGTGGAAATCAATGCCCATCCAGTTTGCAAAACAAACAATCACCTTATAGAATAACAAGAAAGTGGTGGCAAGTGGCACCTGTTAAACCAATTCCACCCTGTTTTTCAGCCCTAAGGAAATAATGGACTGAAAATTTGTTAATTCAAATATGAAAGCACAGTAATTTATACCCATTTGTGACATACACAGTGGGTGGATGAGCTGGGGATTGAGGGGTGCAGAGGGGAGTTTTGAAACTGTAGGGTGAGACAGCAGCTCCCAGACTTTGTGCCTCTTTTGACCCAACCAGTTGTAAAAGTTTACCAGTTGTGATGAGTTCTACCCAAGAGTGGTTTTTTTTTTTCTTGTTTTGATTGAAGTTTTTATCATGTCATATAAATATAAACATTCGGTGAGCACGCTCAGTGAGCTAAATCCAACA